TCAATTTAATTCGCGATTACTAGAGTAGTTTTAATTGCGTTTATTTAGTCCGGAAAAACAATTCGGCGCGCAGTTTGAAAAAGACTACAATATGGTATTTGTATATGCAAGTACATATATAGTATATATTAGTAATTCAAGATTGAATTATTTAAAGCAACGAAGATCCAGCTCCGACGGTAATAGGCAGTTACATTCTAGTATTAAGTGTATTAAGCTCAAATATGTCTATTGAAGCCTCTGCATTTGAACGCCATAATATTCTTTGAAGAGAGCGTTGTTCAGGTGTCACTAATACTTGTCTGAACATCTTTTCTATATCCGCTGATACTACATATGTGTGTAATCTAAACCTAAGTAGAATTGCAAATAAATCGTCTTGTAATGCAGGGCCTACCAATTGTATATCGTTTAATGAGATATTATTGTCAGTGACTGCCGATGCGTCAAAGATAACGCGAACCTTTGTGGTCAAGCTTTCAGTTCGAATTACGCAGTGATGCGGAAGATAATGAGCTATATTTTCATTATGACTATCCTTTTTTGTCATGTGACCTAGCTCATTGTCATGTGACCTAACTCATTGTAATCTTGTAAGAATGCTACGTATTGATCTCTCACTGCTGGAACCCTTTGAAGCCTTGTCTCTAGATTAACTAAGCGTTTTCGGGCTATAAGATAAGAGTCACCTAATACATTTGGATTTTCCTTTAAAGGAATATGAACAACGAACCTTCCATTACTGTCGCGCCTATATGTTTTTAAAAAATGTTCTTCACATTGCCTTTCTTCATTAGAAAGTGGCTTCTGATTGCAATATTCTTCAAGTTCCCAAAACTTTAGTAATTGATCATTAATATCAATGTGCTTGCTCAAATTGCACTTTACTGTATTTGTTGAAGAAATTCCTAAGGGACCTGCTGCAATCCAACCTAACTTCGTCTTTTGCATGATAAGTTGTTCCCTTCCTACCTTAATTTGTCCCACACAAAGCAAATTCCAAAAGCTATCCGCTCCTATGAGAATATCTACCCTCGATGGTAGGTGAAATGAAGGATCCGCTAGTCTTATATTAGAGGGTATCTGAAGCCTTTCCTTATCAATGATAACATTTGGTAGCGGTCCAGTTATGTCTGAAATAATGAGACATGCTAGATTAAAACTGTAGTTATTATGATGAGCTGTTACGCTGAGATTGCATTTATGCCTTATTCGACACGATGAATTGTTTATAGCTTCTAAATTGATCTGTACGTTTGTTTTTTCTAGTTGTAACCTGTCGCAAAGGCTACTAGTAATCAAACTGGATTGTGATCCAGGATCTAGAATAGCACGAACCTTATGCGTTTTTGCGTTTCTATCCTTAACAAATAATAACGCCGTCGATAAAAGAACATGACTATTGTTAAATTGTTCATGCGAGTATAAAACTGCTGTGGTATCATTCTTGTGCTCCTCTACAGCTTTATCCTGTGTTGATAAAGACTTTTCAAAATGAATCAATGTGTTGTGCTTACCGGAACATCGTTTACATGTGCTAGATTTACATTCCTTTATGAAATGTCCGGGTTTCAAACAATTAAGACATAACTTAGTGCTTCTCAAACATTCTAGTCTCCTTTGAGGTGTAAATTCTAAGAATTTTGGACACTGTGACACATGATGTGTTTCCTTACAAAATGCGCAAGTCTGATTTTTAATTAAGAGTGATTTTGTCTTACTATGATCTATCCTATTAAGTTTACTTGTTTTCTTATTATTAGATTCTAACGTTTCTAACAAACTCGCTCGGGAATCAAGAAACTCTTGGAATTCCACCAAACTCATAACTTCACTACCTACACATTGTTTCTTCCGCTCCTCTGCTGTAATGCTATCTAATTTAGATGATATCAAGTATATGAGTAACGAATCCCATTGCTCAGTTGATTGCCCTAACACATTTAAGGCTCTTATATGCTTATTAAGTGTATCTACGATACTGCGAATTTAAGTTGAAGACTCTTCTTTCATGTGATTAATACTAAAGATGGCCTTAATGTGAATATGTGTCAGTAACTTTTTGTTATTGTAACGACTACAAATTGCCTCCCACGCTACCGTGTAGTTGCCGGCTGAGAACTCTAATGATTTGATAATCTGAGCTGCCTTGCCCTCCAGAGCTGCTCTCAAATAATGAAATTTTTGTATTTGTTTCTGATCTAGTGTTTCATTGTTATGTATAAGTGACTGGAAGGTGTCTCTGAAACCAAGCCACTCAGCTATTTCTCCATTGAATTTTGGTAATTCAATGGTTGGTAACCTAATACCTGATGCCTTAACCACGATGTTTTGATTTGCCTGTCTTACCACATTGGCAGGATTCTGTGTATTTTGTTGTCCCGGATTAAATTGCGCTATCAACGGTACCGCACTACGAACATCAACACCAACTGCATCGAGACCCTCTGCTTCTATTTTGCCACGATTGAGCAATATTTCGGCTTGAGCTATTATACCATAATATTCGCCTTCAAATACTTGTCTGTATTCTGAATTCCGTTCTTAGTCTGCGTCTGAAACAAGTTCGTCGATTTGAATCTGTAATATGTCGTACTTGTTGTACACATCTCTTATATGTTTAAGACGCTCTACTATTTCAAACCTTTTTTGGTTATCTATTGGCTGGGAAATATCTGGTAAATTATCTGTTATCTTTGTTATGTATGTTCTAAAGGAAGTGACTTTACCTTTTATATGACCACGAGCCTTTACTAATTCATCCATGTTATCCGATGCTACTATTTATTTATGACAATATGCAAATTGATTGAATCAAAGAAGGTTAGGAACTCACTCACTTACCGACACACGACAGACACGCCAGCGCCCATACACCGACCACTCACCTTACCTATGTCAGCGCCCTCTATAGCAAACGCCTCCTTCCACGACAACTTGCTCGAGATTGTATGCTGCACGTCGTTGCATGTAGCGCCTGCGCATCCACTCTCGTTTCTCACCGATTATGTTCTCGCCAATGCTCGCTATGCCAGGATGATAGATACTGTTTCTCCTCGTAGTCGCTTTGGTCGTTCACTGCTTCCATCAGATATGCTATGAAATACTGCTCTTCTTCTATTGTCTTGCACGAACGTCTATACAGATTCGCAGTCCGTCGATGCTGCCAATCGCTTATGTCTTCTCCTCGAGCCACTGATAACAACAGCCAGTTTTCTTTGTTATGTTTCGTATCGTGCACTAAATGAATGTGAAGACCTGCGTCCCTTGGAAACGCGGAGATTGTCTCGTCAACGGTTGAAGATGGCCGCTCTCGTCTTGCAACCGCGGGTACGCCGTACAGTTCGTACCGCAGTCTCGCCTTACGTCTTGTTATCTGATGCTATTTCTTGATTTCGAAGCCTTTAATCCGGCTCGAAGGACCAATGTTGGTTATTATTGAATGAATGTGGACTGTATAACGTTGGATTTCACCTTTTTATTGATAAGTCACAATTGAGCACGTTCGCTATTGACGAGAGACCATCGCCATCTTGCCTTTGCAATTAACGTTAAGAAAGTAGTTGGCAACTCGTATAGATGGAGCGCCAGATTTGAATTAAACAAAACCTTTTTAACATGCCAAACATTACCTACTAATAGAATAAGACAAAATTTAATAAATTCACATTACTTGTTTCGGCTACAAATTCAAGCCCTCCTCAGATGTAAAAAATACAATAAAAATATACAATACAAATATACACTGTGTAAGATGAAACGCAATTACTAATGAAAAACGCAGAGAATATACAATATCATATCGATGGAATGCTAATGTTGCATGAAATACTTGAAACAGAGGAAACGAAAATTACTCGCCAATTGGTTGGAAGACCGACTGAGAAAAAACTTTTTCGTTGTATTGGAAAAAAAAGGAAAAGAGAAAACTTAATGACAGATAAAACTTCATTTTTTATATACTTAAAGAATAATGCAATGCAAGCAACAAAGTTTCCCTCTGGTAAAAGACTCACCCCAATCCAAGTATCAGTGACACACGTCCATATAAGTATCGTCAACAAGTTAACAATCCGAGAATATCCACGGTCAGAAAGTAAAAAAATCTCCATGCATGATGTCAAAAAACCGTTACGAAGACATAATTATACGTCTAACCGGTGCGACAGACGGAACATTATTAAGCACGATCTTGGTGACACAATGTCGAACGTTGTTTATAATCGGAATGTATGACACATATAAGCTCTTTGTGTCTGTTTAGAGATTAAGGCTGTTTTTTAACATACAGCATCTCAGAGATCAAACGCTTATTGTAATACGGCTCCTCGCCTAAAATATGTATGTTGTCCCAGTCGAAATCGTGGTCAAGCTGCAATCTGTGATCTGTTATTACTGATCTTGAAAACGTGTTCCAGCGTATATGGTTCCGACGTTCCGAAATTCTTGTTATCAATTTCCATCCTGTTTGGTCCACATATGTTGCATCGCAATCTCGGTAAATGTTAAGAAAAGGGGAGCCACCTCTGATGACCTTGACCTTGACATATGTTGTCAAGGTCGTGACCCTGAGTGACCTCCACCAGATTTTAGATGGCGGTCGCTGTCCGTTAAAAAGTTATGAACAAAAAATGTTAGGGTTAGGTAATTATATACCCATGGGAATACAATAACCTAATCCTAACCAAACCCGATACATGGTTTGGTTAGGGTTAGGTTATTATATACCCATGTGTACATTGTTTGATTTTTACCTTCGACTCTCACCCCTCCTCCCCACTGCTTAAAGGGCACACGACTCTCATCTCCCCTCCTCCCAAATTGACCATATTTCTGTGGAAAGAAATGTATCAAATAAAGAAAGATTAAAGTAAACAATTTGTTTATTAGTAATGTATGAATAGCTATTTTTGTAGCATTATTATTGAATAAATTATTCAATTGGATCTTAAGCAGGGGTGAAGGGAGGTGAGAGTCGAAGGTGAGAGTCGTGCGCCCCTAAAGCAGGGGGAGGAGGGGTGAGCGTCGAAGGTTAGAGTCGCTTCGCGTGGACGTCACGCTGTATAGCAGAAATAAAACGTAATTTTTCAAACTTTTTTGTTCATAACTTTTTAACGATCGCCACCCAAAATGTGGTGGAGGTCACTCAGAGTCACGACAACATGTGTCAAGGTCAAGGTCATCGGAGGTGGTTCCCCTTTTCTTAACATTTACGATGCAACATACATGGACCAAACAGGATGGAAATTGATAACAAGAATTTCGGAACATCGGAACCATATACGCTGGAACACGTCTTCAAGATCAGTAATAACAGATCACAGATTGCAGCATGACCACGATTTCGACTGGGACAACATACATATTTTAGACGAGGAGCCGTGTTACAATAAGCGTTTGATTTCTGAGATGTTGTATGTTAAAAAACAGAAAAACAGCCTTAATTTCCAAACAGACACAAAGTGCTTACATGTGTCATACATTCCGATCATAAACAACGTTCGACATTGTGTCACCAAGATCGTGCTTAATAATGTTCCGTCTGTCGCA